TTGGCACGGTTGCTCATGCCTATAATCCCAGCACTTTGGGAGGCCAAGGCAGGTGGATCACATGAGACCAGGAGTTCGAGACCAGCCTGGCTAACATGGCGAAACCCCGTCTCTTCTAAAATAACAAAAATTATCTGGGCATTGTGGCGAGTGTCTGTGGTCCCTGTACTCAGGAGGCTGAGGCACAAGAATGGCTTGAACCTGGGAGGCAGAGGTTACAGTGAGCCGAGATCATGTCACTACACTCCAGCCTGGGTGATAGAGCAAGATTCTGTCTCAAAAATAAATAAATAAACAAATAAATAGAAATAATTTAAAAAATAAAAAATAAGAACTCTAATCTCTATGCAATTTTCAAGAGGCAAACAAGCTAAAATTACACCACCAGTTGAAAATAAAGGAGTGGATACCTGAATTTAATCAATTCTAGGGTAAATATTTTTCTTATTTTAGTGTCTCTGAAATAGGTATATATTTTAAAATGGGTGGCCTCTTACCATTGGGACATAGTATAATTTGCAGCATTTTCTTCTGTTAATGGTATATGTAATAATGTCTCAGGTGACGTGTTCTTATGGGGTTCCTAATACTGGCTTTATTTTTATTTTATTTTTTGAGACAACATCTCCCACTCAGGCTGAAATGCAGTTGGTGCAGTCATGGATCACCATTCACTGTAGGCAGGACCTCCCAGGCTGAAGAGATCCTCCCACTTCAGTCTCCACCTAGCTGGGAGTACAGGCACACGTGACCACATCCAGCTATTTTAAATTTTTTTTGTAGAGGCGGGGTCTTGCTTTGTGCTTAGGGTGGTCTTGAACCCCTGGGCTAAAGCAATCCTCCTGCCTCCGCCTCCCAAAGTGCTGAGATTACAGGAGTGAGCTACTGCTCCCGGTCAGCTTTTCTGCTAAAATGCTGTGCTGGGGTGGAAATGAAAGCAAAGCAGTGGGCGGGCATTTGTTTCAAAAAGGCTCTGCCTGGGCTGTTACTTCTGGTGAACTGGTTGTACTTTTTAGGTGGAAACGATGCCATTTTTCCTTTATTCTCCCCTCTGAAAGACCAGGAGGCAATTGGAGGATCCTCAAATACCAGGGAGAAACCCGCTAGCAGAAGATGTAGTATGGTGGAGGGGAAGATCAAGGCAAACGCCTTGGGAGTGGGTGAGAATTGCTACCTCATATTGGGTCTCCTGACCTGTGAAGACCCTTATCTAGGCTCCTCTGGACATATCCTGTGTCCAGGTTCATCTAGAAAAGAATTGGTTGCATAGCATCTTCAGGATGAGGCTGGGAGATGATGAGTTCCAGTGGGAATGCTCCTGGTAGGATCAGTAGGTCTCTTGGGGAGATTACATCTGGATGTTTAGATTTTGGGGGAAATGTGAAAGCTTATGGGAAAAGGACGATTTTCTTCCGGGCAGTGGCAGTTCCTTATTTCCTATGAGGAAGGAGTTTATAGCCACACTGACTGAAAAGTGTGAGAATTCAAGCGCTTGAAAATTCGCCTGCTTTGCATTTCCCGAAAGAGAGAAAACGTCAGGGATCCATTTCACAGATCAAGGGTATAGGAAAGTGGAGGCAGTTTGAGAGGTTCCCTGGGGTTGGAGAGGGAGCGGACATCTGCCATCAATCCCTTCTCCTGTGCTGGAGTCTTGCAGTCCATTTTTCTCTCCGGCCGTCTTCTAACTCCTATCCCAAAATATCAAGGACATCTGACAGAGTTAATCATCAGAATCAAAGAGCGATTCCTTCAGAATTCCATCCCGCAGGAGACGTACCGGGACCGCAGGTCTGTCGGCCCCTCTTGTAGGATCCTGAGGGTTCTGGAGGGGAGGAGAGGCTGGGAGAGAGGGGTGGCCTGGAAGAGCCCAGTCACGGAGGTTGGAAGGGCTGTTTCCTGCGTAGGAAACTGTTGGCGACCAGAATGGTTTTTACTTTATTCCTGGGACCAGCTGGATCTGCTTGGTTCTCAGCACCTAAACCGACTCCTCTCCCTATGCGCAAGGCACTGGGTGGAATGCAAGAACAACGCAGACTTTCTGCCGGCCTCAGTGGCCCACGCCTGTGATCCCAGCACTTTGGGAGGCCCAGGAGGGCGAAACGCTTGAGCTCACGAGTTCGGGACAAGCTTGGGCCACATAGCGAGACCCCTGTCTACAAAAAATACAAAATGCAAAAAATGAGGGGGGGAGGTGGTGCGCACCTGTGGTGTCAGCTACTTCAGAGGCTGAGGCCAGAGAATCGCTGGATCCCAGAAAGTCAAGGCTTTACTAAGCCTTGATGGCGCCACTGCACCCGCCTGGGCGACAGAAGGGGGAAAAAAAAGAAAGAAAAGAAAAAGACAACAGAGCCAGGCACGGTGGCTCGCGCCGGTAATCCCAGCACTTTGGGAGGCTTAGACGGCTGGATTAAAAAAAAAAAAAAAAAAAAGCAAACAAACAAAAACAGACTTCCCTAAGCCACTGGAGGACAGAGTGGGTAGAGCGGGCAGCACTTTGGTGGAACCGAGCGCTCAGTTGGCCCATCGCTGCACCGCTCCTTTCCCAGCGCCGGCGGTTTCTAACGCCAATGCCACTCCTTTGTCAGCGTCAGCGGATGCTCTCCGGCGGCAATATTCTTGGCGCCAAAAGTTGTCTTAAAACAGCACAGGCATTTGCCAGGGACAGGTGATCGCTGGGTCCCAGCGCCGCTGGTTTCACAACTTAGCATTTTTCCCCCTTACTCCGCGCCCCACCCCCCGCCCACCCGCAGCAAAATCCGTGAACTGAACCTGCGGTTTCTCCACCGCACCTTCGCCCGTTGCGTCCTGCGAAACCAGTGAATTCGGTGGGGTTACCTGGCGTTTCTTGGCACCCGCACCGCTCTGCGCTTTGTGCTGTCCCAGGCCAGTCTCGGCACCGTTAGTTGCTCCATAAAGGCGATTGTCCGTCGTGGGTAGGAAAGATCGTCCGTCTGCTATTGAAAGACGGTTTTTCAGAAGTTTCCAGTAGAGCCCAACTGGCGGCTTCTCGATCGCAGAACCACTGGTTCCGCGGAGTGGCAGCGCGTGTTTCTCTGTGGCATCCCCACGGGTGTCGTCGAAATCGCACTGTGTGTTTGTCTGGCATCACCGCGATGTGGATAACGTTCTTCAGTGGCTGCGCGGTTTCCTTCACCGAGTTGCTAGTTTTGATCCGCGCTTTCTTCCAGCAAGCGGACCAGACACTTTTCTGCTGGGCTGTGCACGGTTTCTTCGGCTCCGTGAGTTGCTTTCTCCATCCAAGGCCCTAGTGCCGGCGTCACGGTCGCAGCACCTGGCGTTCCTATTGGCCCTTTCGCCAGTGGAGCGGAGTCGGCGGTTTTTCTGTTACAGCACTTGTTGTACGGAGTTTCTTGGTGGCCGAACCTCTCTTTTTTTCTCAGAGTCGACGGTTTCTTGGTGACAGCACCGTTGGTTGGGCCAAAACGATGTTGTCCTTGACAACCCCGCCGGCTGCCGTCAAGCACAGGCTCCCGGCACTGCCATTTCCCCGAGCCGAGGTCTCTCGTTTGCTGCTCGGTGACTCCATTTCTCTGTGGCTACAGCGCTCAGGTCGCGGATCTGAGAGATTCAAAGTCACAGCTCGCCCAGTTGCTGCGAGCCTGGGGTTCCCGGGCGGCCGCAGCGCCGGGCGTGGGGAGCCGGCAGCTCCTCAGAGTCGCTGACAGTGGCGCTGCGCGGGCGCAGTCCCATCCCAGCGCAGCCAGCAGTGCCGCACTGGCTCTGGCTCGGCCTCCAGAACCCAGTCCTCTGGCGGCGCCGCTGGCTTCTCTGTAGCAGGACCCCGGCGGTTTCGCGCGTCGTTGGCTTCTTGGGCTTAGCACGTTTCGATTTCGTGGTGCCTGAGATTCCTACTCCTTGTCCAAGTGGGGGAATAACCACAATGTGATTTCTCAGCCCAAGAAAAGTCCCGACTTAGGACAAACACCGGTCTAACCCAGGCTGCGATTTCTAGGTCGCAGAAAGACACTGTTTCGCCATAGCAAGGCGAAGTTATCCTGTGACTCATTTTTCAGCAGCTCCGGGTTTCCTGTAGCCTCGGATTTCTAATTATAACAACCATGGGGTCAGCCCAGCCTCAAGTTTCTTAGTCCTGGCAAGTTCTGGTTTCCTACTAGTAAGCCCTGCTTTAGCTGCGCAAGAGATGTTTAACTCCTGTAGAAATGGGGATACCAGCGAATGCCTGTTTTTGTTTTTGTTTTGTTTTGTTTTGTTTTAGGTTTACTGATGACCAGTTTAGCAGTGTTGGGAGCTCTTATACCAAGTTTGGTTTTGCAATATCGAGTCCCGTTTTAGCTATGCTTTTGTGTTTTTTAAACTCCCGTGGAAGTCAGGAAATGCCGGCGAACGCAATTTCTGTTTTACCAAGCTCCCTTTGACAATAGCAAGTCCAGCTGAACGTGACTTTTTCCTCTTGTGGACCAAATCGGGATATACCAGCTACTACGATTTTTTAGTTGGAGCTAAACACATTTAACCGTGACTATTTTTGTTTGTTTGTCGTAGGAAATTTAGACAGGTGCAAACTGTAGGGGTATTACATCTGACAGGGATATCCTAATCGTAGGATTGCATCGTTTAGCAATATTTGTAATTTCTTTTTTTGTAGGGTTGGTTCCCTGTAAGTTTTGCTTATTTTAAAATTATTTTTGTGTATTTTATTCTTAGAACGATGTTACCGATGTTTGTTTTCATTTTTTTACTTGCATTTCAGACTTTTATTATTTTAAAGTTTTATTTTTAATTTTTATTTATTTATTTTTTTGAGACAGAGTCTCGCGCTGTCGCCCAGGCTGGAGTGCAATGGCGTCATTTTGGCTTACTGCAACCTCTGCCTCCTGGGTTGAAGCAATTCTCCTGCCTCAGCCTCCTGAGTAGTTGGGACTACAGGTGTGCACCACCACGCCTGGCTAATTTTTTTGTATTTTTAGTAGAGACGGGGTTTCACCATGTTAGCCAGCCTGGTCTCGAACTCCTTACCTTAGGCAATCCGCCCTCCTTGGCCTCCCAAAGTGCTGGGATTACAGGCGTGAGCCACCGCGCCCAGCCTGTAATGTATGTTTTTCCTGCTAATTTTGAGTGTCTCAGCCTCTTGCTCCTTGACTTTTGTTCTCTCAGGGGCCGGGGAGCCCAGCTCGGTCTTAGCCTCGCTGGTGTCAGGTCCCGGGTTCTGTCTGGTGGCTCTGCTTCCTATGCGGAGCTGACAGTTTAGTATCAGCACGTTTGCCAGCAGTGCCCACTAGGCGTTTGCTCAGTTGCTGCTCCCAACGTGACGTTTCCTGCTCGCAGGGTCCTTATGTTTTCAGTGCTGTCACTTTCTCGGTCCTAGAACAGCTAGTATCTCCTAGGAACTTCCTGAACTCCGTTTTGCGGTGAAGAACAGTGATTGCACCGAGCTGCTGTATGCACTAGTAATTCCGTGGTACCGTTAGCCGGCGCTTTTTCTGTCGCAACACATTAAAACCGGTTAAAAGACCTTAAACTGATTAAACACATTAAACGGATTAAAACACATTAAAATGCTACAACACATTTTTCTGTCACAACATATTTAAACAGAGTGGGTTAATTCCTCCAAACACCACTCCTTTCTTAGAGCACGCTGTTTCTCTCTAGCAGCACCACTTTTGGGGTCTAAACAGATGTTTGGCAATACAGGCGCTATCCGCTAGGTGCAGGCGCTTGCCAAGTTCAACGCGCCAGTTTCTCGTTAGCAAGGTCGTTGGCAGGGCAGAGCCCTAGCGGACAGTTTTCCGGGGCTCATTTTCGGAAAGAGATAGTTCTTGGCCCTTGAAGGCTCTTTTATACCTGCGTTCCGCAGTGATAGTTCTCTGCAAGGTTTGCTTAGTGTTCGTTTCATTTCGGTTTCTTTTCTTGCTGTTTTTCTGTCGGAATTACGGTTTGTTTTGGTTCTATGTACTCTCTAAAATTTTTATTGTTTTTCATATGTCTACTAATTTTCGTGCATTTGTTACTATTGAGTTTCTTAATATCTGGCTGGCCTCCGCCCACGGGCTCTGGAGAGCATAAATACCTAGAGTGATGGTAGTGCACAATGCACTCCTTGATCAGCGCAAACATTTGTTTCCTCCTGGTCTGAGGCTTAAGCGATGGAGCAACATTTTCTTGGCTTTGTGAAGCCTGTTTCGGATTCCGCAGAGGTGGAGCCAGAGCCCCAGCTTCCGCCTATTGTGAGTTCAGAAGATTGTGGGCCGTGGTCTCTTCCTATGTATCCAGTACTACGAGAGTACTCATTGGACAGCTGTGATTTGGGACTGCTTTCTGGTCCTTGCTGGCGGCTACCTGGAGTCTACCCGCAAAACGGACTCTTTCCTGGAGTCCAGGGCACCTTAGAACCAAGTACAGCCCAGCCCGCTGAGTTCAGTTGGCCCGGGACACAGAAGCAGCAAGAGGCACCTGTAGAAGAGGTGGAACAGGCAGAGGAACCCGAGAGACTCATGCTCCAGCAGCTTCCCTTGTGCAGTCCTCCCCACCCCTGGGGCAGACAGCAGGACTCCGAGGTCTCTGACAGCTGGCACCTTTTGGAATGCCACCATCCTCCTGTGCTGAATTGGTGGCGCCACTTCCCGAGTTTCTCAGGCTGCCTGGAGTGGATTTGTCGCCTTGGTTGTGCCGGGTTCTCTGTACTCTGGGCGTGCTGCCCACAGATCTGTGGAGCTAAGCAGCCTTAGATAGCAGCAGAAGACTTTTGGGATTCTCCTCCATAAAAAGATTCTCCGTTACCAAACGTCTCCACCTAGAAAATAAAAATGCATTAAGATGTGCCTTCATTGCTGGTTGTCAATTTTTAAAATATCTTTTGCTGATGAATCTCCCTTGTTTCAGGTCGCTTATTACTTGCAGTTTCCATATATTTTAAACATTTGTATTTATTTTATTATATATTTCATTTTTATCTGTTTCAACTTTGAGAAATCTATTTTATGATTGTAGAATTCTTAGAGTTTTGGCAAATTTAAAATTTGTTTTTTCCATTTTATTTTCAAATCTTACTCCTACTTTTTTCTAATTACGGCTTTCTAAATGTATTTTTTTATTTAATTGTATTTCACATATTTTGCGTTATGTCTTTTTAATTTCAATTGTTAATTTTATTTTTGTTTTAACAGCTGTCTTTTTTTCAGTATAGCAATTCATTGTGTTTTACACTCAGGAATTTTATTGGCGGTCATAAGACTGAGGGGTTTATCAATCTTTGCTATTTCTCATGGTAAGGAAGGAGACCACCCCTCATATTGTCTTATGCCTAATTTCTGCCTCCAAAGAAAGAAGAAATAAAAACTAAAAAGGCAGAAATGAAATCTACAGGCAGACAGCTCGGACTGGTGCCCTGGGCCTGGTAAATATCGACCCCTGACCTAACTGGTTATGTTATCCATAGATTCCAGACATTGTATAGAAGGACATTGTGAAACTTCCCGCTCTGTTCTGTTTCACTCTGACTACCAGTGCATTCAACCCCTGTCACGTACCCCCTAGCTTGCTGAATCAGTCACGACCCTTTCATGTGAAGCCTTTAGCGTCGTGAGCCCTTAAAAGGGACAGAAATTGTGCACTCGGGGAGCTCGGCTCTTGAGAGAGGAGTCTTGCCAATGCTCCCAACTAAATAAACCCCTTCCTTCTTTAACTCAGTGTCTGAGGAGTTTTGTCTGCGGCCTGTCCTGCTACAGTGGAAGGATCACACAATTATTTATATTAATACAACTGCACAGATAACCAGTTCTTAATATTACTTATCAAACGAGGCAGCGTGGCTCATGCCTGTAATCCCAGCACTTCTGACAGCAGAGGCACAGGGATTGCTTGAGCTCGGGAGTTTGAGACTAGGCTGGGCAACAGGGTGAGACCTGTCTCTACAAAAAATACAAAAATTATCCATGTGTGGTGTTATGCCCCTGTAGTCCCAGCTACTTGGGAGGTTGAGGTGGGAGGGTCCCTTGAGCTCAGAAGATAGAGGCTGCACCGAGCCAGATGGCACCAATGCACTCCAATGGAGCGAGACCCTGTCTCAAATAAGTAATTTAAAAGATTACTTATTCATGGGTCTCAGGGCTAGCAGTGTTTCCTGTGTCTTTTTCTTTGGAATAATAATTTAGTGTGGTTTATAAGAGAACTACCAATTACTTAATCGTACCACAACTTTGTTTAGTAATTCCGGTAGACAGAGCAGGTCTGGGTTGGCCTTGCTAATTTGTCTGTCTTTTCAGTTTTAAACCTCCTACATGTCAGAATATAGCCCTGATTGTGGTTTCTCTGCATAGGGAATCCAGATTTAAGCAGAACAAGTATCAGTTTATTTCGCCTGTGATAAAGAGCCTTAAGCCTGTGTTCAAAATATCTTATTCTGAGTGAGTCCTGGATTAGGGATTTCTTAGACTAACAAGTCCATGCTTCCATTCAAAGTCCCGCCGTGAATGTGATTTCTTAGGCTCTTATAAGTCCAGATTGAGTCGAAACCAGTACTAGCGTAGCCATGCCTGCGACTTCTTAGTCCCAGTAACTTTTGGTTTCATAATAACTTACCCTGCTTTAGTTATGCCTGAGTTTTAAATATAGAAGTCCGGGCATGTCGGTGGAGATCTTTTAGGAGTGGCAAGTAGCAGTTTAGCAGTGCCTGCAGTCCCTTAGTTAGAAGTCCTGGTGAGACCAAGCAGATATTGATATAGGCGTGACAGCGATATCACAGCTGTGAAACCACATTGTTTAGAAGTGTTTGCATTTTCTTTGTAGAGTCAGTTTTCTATGTTTTGCTTGGTTTTGAATTTTCATTTTATGATTTTTTTCCAAATGTATTGTTTTTATTTTATTTTCAGCTAACTTGCCCTTTTGAAAAACAACGGTTACTAAATTTTCTTTTGTCAACCCTTGGCTTTATGCTGTCTGGTTTGCAATGGCCTATGATCCCTGGAACTAAACACTCCAGTCTTTTCGCCTTACTTGCCTTTCGTGGATGGCATTACCACGCTAGATGCTCCTTGTTTGTTGCACTGCCGGTTGCTTCTGTGAGGCTTGCTAGAGCCCAGGATGTTGAGGTGCTGGGTGACCCCGTTTCCTCAGTTGTGTCTTTGATAGGTTCAACCACTCCGCGGGTTCTTGGTTTATTCGGCTGTGTGTTGGAACAAATGCTGATTCTTCCTGGGAGCTGAGTGTCTCTCAGTCACGTTCTTGGCTGTTTTCTTCAAAAGCGGCCATTTCTCCTGGTAGCACCGCTTGTTGGCGACATCAGATGCTTTCCCCCATGGCAGTACCGGTTGTTGCATGGAGTGGCCGGTTTCTCACTCGCACTGTGGCAGCTGGCAGTTATTCTGTGGGGGCGCAGCTCTCAGCAGCTTTCCTTGGTCCTTCGTGTCAGCTGTCCCTGTACTGGTATTTGTGACGGTATTTCCGTCTGTGTTTTTTAGATAACAATGCCGTTCCTGTCTCTAAAACCAGCTATGTCTGAAACCGGCAATTTCTCTCGGGCACAGAGTCCTCGGTTTCGCAGAGCCTGTTGTTTCTGGATTCCGGAACTGCTGTTTGCTCCGTTCCAGCGACATTGCACCCAGTATTGTTAGGTGCTCCCTGTTGGAGTTTTGAGACAGCGTTTTGAGATAGTTGCACCAGTGCTCCAGACCTGACACCTGAAGAAAGCATTATCATTTCAAGCTCAGTAGGGGCAATAGAATGAGTGGTGTTAGAGAAAGCAAGCAAATGCTTGAAGAAAGGGCCACTCCACAGTATTTTTGGCTTTCTCCCCACCTTTTATTTATTTATTTATTTTTTTTGAGACAGGGTCTGGCTTTATCACCCAGGCTGGAGTGCAGTGGCACAAGCATAGCTCACTGCAGCCTCAACCACCTGGGCTCATGCAATCCTCCCTCTCTGTCTTTCAAGTAGCTTGGACTGCAAGTCCAAGTGACACCATGCCTGGCTGGCTGATTTTTCAATTTTTTGTGGAGATGAGTTCTCACTCTATTACCTAGGCTGGTTTTGAACTCCTGGCCTCAAGTGATCCTTCTGCCTCAGCCTCCCAAAGTGCTTTTGTTGCAGGTGTGGGCCACTGCAGCTGGCCTATTTTTGACTTCAGACAAAACAATTCAATACCAGGTCCAGGTGAAACAAAGCAAGACAATAAATTACTAATCCGCATCTCTGAACAGCTGGTGTCAGTTCCGGTGCCTCAACTCAATGGGAAGCCTGCAGGCAAAATTAGTTCTCCAGTACAGTCCATACAGGTTACTTCTTGCAACATAGTGCTGACTGAAGAGTGGTATGCGGATCTAAAGAGGCAAACTGATACTAGCTAGCAGTGTCTTCATGTTGATCAACCTAGTCAGAATGGTAACTTAGTTTTTTGGGTTTGTTTGTTTGTTTGAGACAGTCTTGCACTGTCACACAGGCTAGAGTGAAGCGGCATGATTTTGGCTAGTTGCAAACTCCACCTCCTGGGTTCAAGTAATTCTCCTGACTCAGCTTCCCCAGTAGCTGGGATCACAGGCATGCGCCACCACACCTAGCTAATTTTCCTGTGTTTAGGAGAGACCAGCCTGTGTTGACCAGGCTGGTCTCCAACTCCTGGCCTCAAGTAATCTGCCCACCTTGGCCTCCCAACGTGCTGAGATTTCAGGTGAGAGCCACCCCACCTGGCCTACAAGAGTAACTTTTTTTTTTTTTTTTTTTGAGATGGAGTCTTGCTTTGCACCCAGGCTGGAGTGCAGTGGCACAGTCTTGGTTCACTGCAAGCTCTGCCTCCTGGGTTCGCGACATTTTCCTGCCTCAGCCTCTCGAGTAGCTGGGACTAAAGGCGCCCACCACCACGCCCGGCTAATTTTTTGTATTTTTTAGTAGAGACGGGGTTTCACCGTGTTAGCCAGGATGGTCTCGATCTCCTGATCTTGTGATCCGCCCGCCTCGGCCACCCAAAGTGCTGGGATTACAGGCGTGAGCCACCGCACCCCAGCTGTAATTTTTTTAAACAAATGATTTAGCACTGCCAGGAATCATTTTAGTCATACCAAGTATGATTTCGCAATAGAGAGTCTCGCTCTGGCTATGCTTGTAGCGTAGCCTCATGTAGAAGTTGGGATGTCTAGGCTACAGGACATTTTTGGTGTTGCAAATATCTGTTTATCCATGGCTATTTCTTCTTAATCCGAGGAAATTTCGGATAGGCGCAAGAGGCACGGGTTTAGTGCTAATGCAAATACAGTGGTAGGATAGATCGCTGCGTTCAACACTGTTTGCAATTTCTTTGTAGGGTTCTTTGTATGTTTTGTATACCCAAAAAAATTTTTTTTGATGTTGTTCTGGGAGGGAGGTTACTGGTGTATTTTATTTTCATTTGTTTGCTTTAAATATTTCGTTACTTATTTTTTATTTAAATGTTATGCATTTTAGCTTTTCTTACCCACTGCCTTCCCCAGGATAGTAAATGTGGCATATTTCTTCTACTGAGTTTGAGTACCACGTCTCAGCTTTATGCTAACTTGCCTTCTCCCGCCCGCCGTGGAGCCGAGCTGGTGCTTGGTCTCTAGGGTTCTTTTCCGCAGTTCTGCTCCTATGCCGAGCCAGCGGTTTCGCATCAGCACTTTCGCCAATAGTGTGGAGCCTCGTTTTCGCGGTTGCTGCACTGTTGTTAGCGCTGAACAAAACAACGTTTCAGCCGGACGCGGTGGCTCACGCCTGTAATCCTAGCACTTTGGGAGGCAAAGGCGGGTGGATCATTTGAGGTCAGGAGATGGAGACCAGCCTGGCCACCTGGTGAAACCGGTCTCTACTAAAACTA